TTAATCATCAGAGAAATGCAAATCAAAACCACTTTGAGATATCTTCTAACTCCAGTAAGATTAGCCCACATCACAAAATCTCAAACCAGAGATGTTGGTGTGGATATGGAGAAAAGGGAGCACTTCTACACTGCTGGAGGGAACGCAGACTAATTCATTCCTTTTGGAAAGATGTTTGGAGATCACTTGGGGATCTAAAAATAGACCTGCCATTTGATCCTACAATTCCTCTACTAGATATATATCCAGAAGACCAAAAATCACATTATAACAAAGATATTTGCACCAGAACATTTATTACAGTCCAATTCATAACTGTTAAGTCATGGAAGAAGCCCAAGTGCCCATCCACCCACAAACGAATCAATAAATTGTAGTATATGTACACCATGGAATTTTATGCAGCCTTAAAGAAAGATGGAGACTTTACCTCTTTCACGTTTACATGGATGGAGCTGGAACATATTCTTCCATCTCAAGAATGGAAGAAAAAGTATCCAAGGTACTCACCCCTACTATGAAACCAATTTATAGCTTTCATGTGAAAGCTATAACCCAATTATAGCCCAAGAATATGGGGAAAGAGGAAAGGGAGGGGAGGGGAGGAGAGAGTATGGGTGGAGGGAGGGTTATTGATGGGACCATGCCTATGGTGCATCTTATAAGGGTACATGTGGAATTAACTAAGTGTAGAGCATAAATGTCTGAACACAATAACTAAGAAAATGCCGTGAAGGCTATGTTAACCAGTTTGATGAAAATATTTCAATGGTATATAAAACCAGCACATTGTACCCCATGTTACATTAATGTAAACAGCTATGATTTAATAAAAGCTAAAATAAAATAGATCACCCAGTGGAATACACGTTTCATGAGGGCAGGGATCTGTTCTGTCTACACCTGTCCCCTTGGGACCAAAAACACTATTAAGGTACCCAACCCATGACTTGTGCACACATGTGCTCACTCGTGCACACACAGACACACATGCACGGTTTAACCAGCTTAGGGCTGGAAGGGGTCACGTTTCATATCCTCATTGTGCCTGGACATAAGACTTTTTAAAGGATCCTTGCTCCATTCTAATAAAATGATTTTAATCATTTGGAAGGATATGAAGATTTAATGAATGAATGAGGATGTAGGGACCTTCTCAGGAGCTAAGCCTCACCATTCCCACAAACACACAAAGAAAAATCTAATCAACCTGAACATCCGCTTCAGTATTATCATCAACAAAACCACCAGATAGTGAAGTTTGGCCAGAAATATAATAAAACTACCAAGCCCCAGGTATGTACTAGGCATTGCTCACGTTTGGGACACATCAGAGATCAAAACAAAGAAAAATTTATCCTGTTAAATAATGGAGTTTATATTCCAGTCAGGAGAAAACAGAACCACAAAAATATGTAAATTATACAATATTGAGAGGATGGTTAGTGCTAGGGGGAAAATACAGCCCAGTACAGGAAATTGAGAAAATAATTTCGGATAAAATAAACAACTAGGCTTCATTGTGCAGGATTCAAGACATGTTGAGAAACAATTTTACTCTGAGAATGAGGGAAATAAGCACATAAGGGCAGTAAAATACTCTGTAAAAGTTAGGTCACGATTCTGAAGGCAGATGGAAACAGGCCTGAGTGAGTCGAGCACATTAGTCAGAAGAGAAGTTTTCTCTCTTTGACTTCCAATTTAGAATTTATCTTTTCAACGGAATTACAGTTGCAATCAAATCAAAGAAAAAGTGATAGCATTTACCTAGAGAAAACATTAAAGTATCAATAAAAAATAATTTCAAGATCTTTGGAGATAAGATGAGACACTTACCATTTTTACTGATGTCGAGTTCTTTAAGATTAACTAAACTAGCAATCGTGGTCGGCAGGTTGGAAAGGTCATTATCAGGAATACTGAGTTTTCGTAGAGCTTGACAGTTGAACAGTTGCTGTAATAGAAAATAATCACCGATTAAGATCTCCACTTGGTTAAATCCATTCATACACAAACTCAGTAACAGAGTTCCAGTCACCCTTTATTGATGTGGACATGAACTCCACACTCCTGCTCTCAGCTGTTTCCAGAATGGTTTTTCCTTCCATCCCCATTCGTGTCTCTCTGCACATTTCACTTTTCCCCCCATTTACCACTAACATTCAAGTTGCCATTGAATCCTACTGACTTCTTTTTCACTGGAAGTAACTCCTGGAATTGTCCTTTCCTTTCTGTTCCAACAGCTATCAGGACTCCCTCAATGTACTTCTTCTGTAACTACGTTAGATTTCACCGCACATTAACCTCATCACACTGAACAGTAGTTAGACATGTCAGAAGCACAGTACCTGGAACATAGGAGCTCACGTTACTTTTGTGTCTCTCCCTCAGCACTGTGTCACACATATGTACACATTGGTAAATAAAATATTTAACCTCTGGTATCTGGTGAAAAAACATCACCCGTGATTGCTTCATCCCTGCCATCTGCCAAAAATACTAGGTGGGGAGCAGCTGAGGGTCAAAGCTGTGATTCTGACACCCAGCGTGCTCACAGTCACTGGTGGAAGGAGGTGCTTGTTTAAAATGTAAATTCTTGTAAACATGAAGGAGGTAAAGTCTCCATCTTTCTTTATGGCTGCATAGTATTCCATGGTGTACATATACCACAATTTATTGATCCATTCATGGGTTGATGGGCACTTGGGCTTCTTCCATGACCTAGCAATTATGAATCGGGCTTCAGTGAACATTTTGGTACAAATATCTTTATTGTGGCATGATTTTTGGTCTTCTGAATACCTAGCAGAGGGATTATAGGATCAATTTGGAAAATATTCTTCTTAGCAAAGTATCTCAAGAATGGAAGAAAAAGTATCCAATGTACTCAGCCCTATTATGAAACTAATTTATAGCTATCATAGGAAAACTATAACCCAATTTTAGCCCAAGAATATGGAGAAAAGGGAAAGGGAGGGGAGGGGAGGGAGGAAGACGGGTGGAGGGAGGGTGATTGGTGGGATCACGCCTATGATTTATCCTATAAGGGTACATGTGAATCTTACTAAATGTAGAATATAAATGTCTTAACACAACAACTAAGAAAATGACATGAAGGCTATGTTAACCAGTTGCATGAAAGTATTCCAAATTATATATAGAAACAACCCACTGTATCCCATGATAGTATTAATGTATACAACTATGACTTAATAAATAAAAAAATAAAATAAAATGTGAATTCTTGAGCTATCCCCAAATATGTCTGGGAAGGGGGTCAAAAATTTGCATTTTTAACAGGCATCTGAGTGATCTGGAAATTCTGATGTGTTTCTAGTACCATATTTAAGATACAATAACTTGTATTTTTTTAGCTGTGTCCAACTCATCTTAACTCCTGTGTGATATGAACAGCTGGCACACAATTTTTTATTCATGTCTGGAAGAATTATCTTAATGAGATCTTTTCTGTTTGACATTTCTAATTCTGTTTTGCTGAATTCCCACAGATTAAGTTCCTGGTATCCATGACTATGCAATTGGCTCACAGTACATTTAACTACCACTTGTTCCTACATGTAATTCATTATTTAGAGGCAAGCAAAAACAATGTAGCACATGGTCTTTATTTCTTAACTCATTAGCTTTAAAAAAAATAGACCATGCTGGTTGTTACTTAAGACAAAATATGCGGTTTCTTCCTTTGGTTAGTCATTATTTCTGGCGCTTTACAAAGATTATTTGGAACGCTTCATGCAGCGAGAATGAATTTTCAACATCTTATACATGAATGTTGCTACTTATTTTTATAAAACCTCAAAAATAAAGCTTTGACGGATACTTTGATGGACAGTTTCTAACTATTTATTTTTCCTCTTAAAGGAACAGGAGAGCAGATGTCCGCAGGCAGGTTGCAAGTTAGACCTGATTCCAGTCGCCGTCATTCCGTTGGCCCTACCTGCAGCTCTGTGGTTCCTTACAGGTGCATACATTTAGAATAAAACAATCATCTCATGACGGATTTGGTAAGATTTACTAACAGCTGTTTAGTCTGATTGTCATTAACATTTTAAGCAAAGTTTAAGTTACAAAGCACTACGTGGGGAGAGAGCTGGAGTACTTGGTGATGAATTCGTGCCCTTGAACGCTCACATCAGAAAAGACAAACGGAAATGGTTAAGGATGCAGCTAAGGAGGCAGAAAAGGCGAAAGGGCAAACTCAGACACCATGGAGGGAAGATGACAGCAGGAAGGAGCCCAGGACAGCAGGCCATGAAGTCAGGAGGACTCAGGGTCCCAACCTCAGACTGTGGGCTCCTGGAGCACAGGATCACCGTCCTTTGTGGGACACTGTATTCATCTTGCTGTTGGTTTCTTAAATTTTTGTTGTGAAATATCTTTATACATGTACACCCTAGACAACAGAGTGCATATGGCATGTACATAGTCTCTTAAAATTAGGGTAATACAAAAGACCTATTTTTCTCAATCCTGTTGAAGAAATCTCCCCTTGTCCCTCTTACTCATGTCTGCAACCCACCTCCCCAGGGAGGCCCCCAATTTCTTGGATTTTTTCTTTCATTCATTCTCTCTCTTTTCTCTATACTTTTATCATAGGTTTAGTGATATGAAAATTACACATTGTTTGGATTTGTTTATCTTTATATGGAGAGAATAATACCATATGCTTCCATCTGCAGCTTTTAATTTTTATTTCAGCATCATGTTATTACCTGTACTCCGTATTGGTGCATGTCATGTGTCCACTCACTTCTACCAACTTATGCTTCCGTGTTCTGTAACCCAACTTTCCTACCCAATCTCCTCTTCAGAACTTTTAAGTTGTTTCCAAAGCTTTTCTAACAGGGACAAAGCTGCTGACATAAATGCACAAAAATTCTCTGAGTAGGTAGATAGGTGTTTGGATTTACCAAGTCACAGAAATTGTTTCCCAAAGTGGCTCAAACAATTAAAATTCCCACCAACAACTATAAGTGTCCACATTTTTCTATGCCATTTTCAGACTATTTTTTCCAATCTATCATGTGTAAAATGCTAATACACTTTGCCTAATTATAAATAAATTGACCATTTTTTTCTTGTTTTATTAATTTGAATAAGTTTATCCCATATTCTGGATAATAACTCTTTCACATTTCTCCAAATGTATGACTAGTCTTTTTATTTTATGGTATCTGTTGATAAAGAGCTTTAAAGTAGTCAAATTTTTCTTTTAGGTTTGACTTGTCCAGATATTCTTTTTTTTTTTTTTTTATTTCTTGTGAAATAAAAAATCAGTTTTGGTTTGACTCGTCTGGAAATTATTTTTCTGAATGATGTGAAGGTTCTGTTTTTTCCTCTTACAGATGATCAGTTGGTCCAGGATCATTTTTTAAAAAGTTCAGTATTTCTTCACTGATCTACAAGACAAGTCCGTTACATCTGATTTCTACATGAGTGTGGGCTGGTTCCTGGACTCTCTCTTTCCAGCCCTCTAGTCTATCTGTCCATCCTTCTCTCATTCTAGCTGGGTCACTAGAATTCTACAGTGGTGATTTGGCTTGTGCTAGGGAGAAGAATGGGAAAGGGATATGAGGGGCTATGCAGGGAAAGAAGAAGCAGTTCAAACAGGTTTTGGGAAGGGGGGAGTTTTCTGAGCAGAAGGTGGGATAGGGAGTAGATGTATCCAGGGAGCACCAAGGCAGCCCAGGAAGCTGGACATGGAGAGGAGGCTCAGAAGCTACTGGAAATGGCAAAACAAACAAACAAACAAACAAACAAAACAGCAGGTGCCTAGATTCAAAATTGTATGGAAGGGGATGAAAAACGAGGGTTTTAGCCAAAATCTGAAAGGAGGTAGGAGTCTGAGCTTTATCCTATAGGAAGTGTTTGAATACTCATTTTTAGCAATTTTTGAGTCAATCTTACAGATGCCATCTCCAGGAAAATGTTTATAAGGACTTAACAGTACAAATGTGCACTCAGGGACAAAGACACACACACACCACCCACATTCAATTCTGGGGAGCCTGCAAACCACCTGCAGCCCAGGTGTGGGTCTGCGGCAGGGTGATGGCAAAGTCACAAGAGGCTATTCTGAAAAAGCAAACATGTTTAGGTCCATCCCCTGCTCATGAACTTTTAATGGCCTTCTGCTCTCTACAGGACAAAATCCAATGCATTGAGGGCTGTCTAGTCTCTCCAGTTTCTCATCTCACCACTCCTCTCATCCCTCCTCACACCTCCTGCATCATCCCCTCTCCAGCCACACTCAGCAGCTGCGTCTCTGCCCGGACTCTGCAAAGGTCAGGTCTGCAGCTGGAACTCTTCCTACCCTGCCGCATTCCCCCTCCCATCTCTGGAACCCCTTCTTAAGCTCAGGGCTTCCTGCATTCCACAGATGAAAACCCGTTTACATGCGTCATTTGTATGCCTTTGTACAATTCTGTACTTATCCCTG